ACACATCGTCTAACTAGAACTTTCGAAGTGCCTTGCATAAAATTAACATAAAGTAAAGTGTCTTGCATAAAATTGACATTAAGTGTTAGACTTTGGATTGATTTCAAGCTACGGTTCAAACTTATTGTTTACATCATGTTTTTATGAATTCGCAATTTCAATTTGTGGAGACGAAGACAATCGAGAGGAGATCGCGGCGGAAAAAAGAGAAATATTTTTTTCTTTGCCCTAATCTGTATTATTTACTGTCGGGTTACTATGGGAACAAAAGGGTAAAAAAAGAATTAATCAGGTTTGGGTTTTGAGTACTAAACCCAAACCCTAATACTTATCAGCTCAAAAAAACCCGGTCGATTTTTTATTTTTCAAGGTTGAAAATTGGTCGATATGTCTGCAATATCCCCAGACATGTCCGACATTGACCTCGAAAGCGATATCCGATTTGAAATGGTCATATCTGTGTTGCTCTAGCCTCTGATTCGACATGTCGGCTGACATGTCTGAAATGTCGGCTAACATTTAAAACCATGACTAAAGGAGGGTCAAGGAGGATATTTCTCTTCATCCTGCTAGGATTTCTTCTACATTTTCTCAATAGGTGTGAAGGATGCATTGATGTATGGAATTTGCGATTTTTTCTTAATTTTGTACGTCTTTTAAACTTTAGTGCGTTCATCTCCTTCTCTAGTGGGCATGAGCTGTAGTGCCAAAGCACATTTAATCTTGTGTTTATTCTTTATGATATCTCAAGGGTCTTTTGTTCATTTTGATCTAGACTTCTGTTGCATGTCTTGATTCAGAATAGATGTGACATGCTCAAAGATAAGATATTTTCAACAATGTCTAAACTTTTTACAAGAAACTCTCTACATGAAAGACAATAATGGCCAATAACAAACATGAATACGAAACGCAGAAGATGATATTTCAGTATGCATTAATACTGAAGACTTGTAAGGAGGTCCTTGAGTTTAATGATTATTGTCTTGTCTCCTTATTAGCACCAAACTACGTAGAGGAAAATGTTTTTCTTTTTAACTTTTATGTCATGTTTTCAAGATAATAGTTGATATCAAGGTCATCTCGTCATTAACATATAGAGCACTTCATGTTCCAAGCACTAGGTTACCTAGCCTCCAAAATGTAAAGGGTGGCCTTTTCAAAAGAACGGTCTGACAACTATAGTGAGTAATGAGTATGTTCTTCAGATGAAAATAAATTTTTTGTTGTGTTATTTATAAGGTTATAAATCTAATCTTGTGAAAGTTTATCAAGAAAATGAAACTTGACGTTTGATCATAAAAAAATATTTATATGTGCTATTTGCATGGCACTCATAATAATGAACTGATAAGGATATAAAATAAAACACTTACCATTTGGTTAGGCGTGGATCTCATGGCAATATATTGTAGCTGACCCATTAATATCACTGATACACTATTCAAATTTGCCTCATTTCCAGCAAAATGGACTAATACATATGTTAATATAATATCTTCCTTTATAAGAGTTTTATATATTCTAAATTTGCTTTCTTATAATTTTCCTTTCGCAAACATTTCTATATATATTCTGCAATATTTGTATATATAAAAGGTATTAACTTGCCAATGATTAACAAATTATAAGTTTATTTTCTTAACGTGATATCAGAGAACCCTTCTTTCTAAACTTCAAGGCCATCGAGGGGATGTCATCACAAGTAGGAGTGGCAATGAACCAAATAATTGACATAGTTCGTTAGTTACTCATCTAAGTAGTCGGTTATATTCAATTCGGTAGTTCATTTAATAGTAAACAAATATATTTTGATATTTGGTTCATAAACGAATAGAGTTTAATGAAATGTATTTTCGAAAGTCTTTTGATTATTAAATAGTTGTTTATGTTATTTTATTTCCATGATTTAATTTGTTAAATTTTATATTTATCTTAGGCTAAATGGCACTTAAATACCTTATAGTTTCACACTATTGGCACTTATATACCCTCAGTTGTATTTCGTAGCATTTATATATTCTGAATTGGTCAAAATTGGCATATTAGTACCCTATGTTTTGCAAACATGACAATTTTTATTCAAAAGTTCCAATATAATATTTACATGCTATTCTTATAGTTTTTTCTCTATTAAGTTTGTTGAATTCATTGTTAAATCTTTTAAAATTCTATTTTTGAAATAGAATTATGATGCATTTAAATTACAAATTGGGTAGGCTTAATAGTAATTCAATAAATATCGATGGTTAGAAAGCTCCAAAATTAACATTTGAATGTTATATGGGAACTTTCGTATGAAAATTTTCACGTTTGCAAAATATAAGATATTAAAGTGACAATTTTGATTAAGTAAGGTATATAAATGCTACAAAGTACAACTAAGGGTATATAGGTGCTAAATGAGTGAAACTATAAGGTATTTAAGTGTTATTTTGCCTTTATCTTATGAACTCTACAATTCAATTCCTATAAAAATTTGAGACAAATCAACAATACACAAATTGGAGGGTATATATATATATATCTAGAAACACCCAAAAATAATATTAAAAGGAAAAAAGCTACATGTCATAATCCTCAAACCATGGCCATTATTTTGATAGCCTAAAGCTTTAATGACTTGGGCTAACAAACATGCATAAATATCTAATAACTCATTAGCTATACATGCAAATCGATTTCGAATATCACTCTCATATTCATATTGAATTATATTTGAATTCTAAGACATCCAACTGACTGAATGTGAATTCAGATATCCTAGTACTCGTTTCGATTCAGTTTGTTTTTACCCTTAGTTGCTAGCTCTATCTATGTGCTCTCTATTTGCTGCCTTGTAGCCTTGATAGATCCTAACCTCATTTTTCAGATTCATTGTCCAACGTCTTTCAAAAAAAAATTCGCAACCATACTCTTATTACCCCTCGCCATCGTCACTAAATTTATATGTGCCTTATCCTCAAAGTTAATTAGTTTCCATCTATGATGCACAATACTGATGCGAGTATGAAACAAGACAAATTTGTAAAATGAAGGGTAGGGGCATGACTTATATATATATAGTTTCCATCTATGATGCACAATACTGATGCGAGTATGAAACAAGACAAATTTGTAAAATGAAGGGTAGTATTATAGGTATGCTTGGTCCAAGCACAAACTTGGTGCTTAGTAATGAGGTGACTTATTCTCATCCACTTATTTAATCCGAGGGACCACATTCACATGTTAAGAAAACTAAAATTCCAACTTTTTTTATGTTCCTTTATTAAATAGATTATAAATTGGAAACTGCTTATTTGTTAACTGGTTATATCATAAATTTGAATTGGATATGGACTTAAATGAACCTATCTCGTGTTTAGTGAGCTGCGGAAAGTGGATGTTAAGCGTAAGATTTACATCAAAGAAGTGTATGACAAATCTTTTAAACTAAAAGATATACATCAAAGAGGTGTTTGACAAATCTTTTAAGCTGGAAGATATTTTAAACAATTGAGTACACATCTGAATAAATACATGCACATATTCAAGGCACTCCAACGAGTGTTGGAGTTGGGCACGGATACGGGACACAGATATGAGAGCCCAGATGAGGTGTCATGGTAAGTTATGTTGTCATCATTATTAATTTCCACTATTAAATTACAAATGTTCCAATCCGACGAGATCGTTCACCCCCTTCCATGGTCGTGGCCTAGTCCACGCACTGCGATGGAATCTCATCACATGCAATCCTCTTTCTAGGAAATCACTGGTAGACTCTTCTCACACTCAATCCTGGCCTATCCAAACTCTTCTTGTGCTTGAATCAGATTGATCATAGAACGTTCACTGCTGCCACTCTTCATCCTCTTGTGCGTGACCCTCCACCGAGCATGCCCAAAACTGGCTATGTTCAGTTGGCCTGCTCTATTGCATTATAGCTGCTTGGACTCTGATCTAATCGTTTACCTCAACTTATTCAAGCATAGACTTCACTTTAACAACGTCGAGCTTCTCCTCATTGGCATCCCACGGAACACCCTCTCATCCTCTGGTCTCTCCTCAAGTTGTTGACCTCTGAAAAGCCCCTTGTAGTCATATCGACTATTTTGGCTATAAATCTTTTCTAGTTCTTTGGAGAGAGTGCCTTGTTTGTTGGTCACATCATCAAGCATTGATATTTCTTTTCTTAACAATATCGTTAAAGATGTTACCAACAACTTCTTGGAATACAGAATTCAGTAATTGAGCACACCTTAAATAAGAAGGAAGATTGCCTTGCATTTAAGAGTATAGACCACCATTTTTTGGTATACATATCGTTTACAAACTTAGTTCTTATGTCCAATTGGAAAGCAAATGAATATGGCATTGCGTGGGGAATGATTATGCATTAAGCGACAATTTGCATGGATATACAGTTTGCTCCCTGAGCACAAATTGTTTCCAGTCCCATATTGGTAGGATGCACCAAACAAACCAGCGTATAACGTTGAGATTGTTTCCCCTTTTTTTGAGTAAAAGGTGGAATTAGTGAGAGCATAATGAAATAAGTAAGACATGATCTTTCTACATCAAAGTGCCATGGAGAGAACATTAGTATGAAGAGAGGGAGGGAGATGTTCTAAGCAGTGTCCTAGCCTCTACTATCCTTTGACATTTTAATTGCATGACTTTATTTAATTTATTCAAATCCTAGAGCAGATTTCTTCATAGCAAAGATATGTCAAAAGAACAAAACAAGTCACTCAATGTTGTTTCCTTTTATCTGCTGGAGTTTCATATGGCCGTTTCGTACGCATTAGTCATGATCATTTGAGAAATGCTTCGACTTATTTCGTGAGCGCTAGTATCACATATGTATTCTGTTTTATTAATTCCCTTTCTTACTTTAACTGTTACCTTACTATCATCAACTTTATGGTAGATAAATGTGCTTCAGACTAATTTTGTACTACCAACATTCTATAGTTTCTCTACATTATTAACATTTTAATATTTTTGCGATGCAGGATGGAGATGGGCGAAAGAAAGAGGATTGCTAGGATTAGCTTGGTAAATTATTTTGCTCTGTTTCATGAGGCATGAAGCATCAAAGGGAGGGGACGGTTTGTTCCCTTTCGGCGGCCTTGTCCTGAATTTTTAGATCATATATGTATGTCAATGCAGATTACTGTGAGATGTGGTTATATTAACAAGGAGAGGTATTATCTATGTTAATTTTTAATGAAAATAGCTTTGCTTATATAGGCTTTGGTTGCTGCCGGTGCTAGCTCAGTAGAGTAGCTGAGTATCAGAATTTCTCTTTAAATGGCTCTCTTTTTATGTGGAAATTGACGGTTATGCCTACAACTATGAACAGCCCATAAAGACATTTTTCATCATTGTCTATAATTCCCAGACAAGTAATTGCCTTTTCAGTTTCAGGGTGAAACTTTATAGTTGTGTCTAGTAAGAGCTGTAGAAAGATACCTTGTCCATGATTAAGCAAAATACATACTTCGAGTATGTATTTTGCTTAATCAAAATTGCGTTTAGCCGAAGTAGGAACCAGCAGATGTATCAAGCAAATGTATAAGTAACTTGCCGTTCTTGAAAACATCTTAATTTTGAGTATTTCAGATGTATTGTGCATCGGAGTGTGCAGTAAAAGTCTTGATCAAAACACGCGAGACTCTTTGAGACATCGTAAGAAACAAACACATGAAAGAACACAAGATATGACACAGGATATAACGTGCTTTGTCACCAAAGCTGTGATGCCGTAAATCTGATCCCCCAAAAGCAGCCGATAGAAGAACATCCCGTATCAGACGAGGAGTCGAGCTTCACTGCTTGTACCAAGTTCAAAACGGTCAATGCGTCTTGACCCTTGTTCAGCCCTTCCCAGTATATTAAGCAGATTTGATCGAATCTCGTCTCGCGTGAGCTAGCGAATCTTAACTAACTCACGCGAGGGACGCCTGGACAATTCAATTATAGAGGAAGCTTCCTTAAAGCTTATACACACCGACTAGATGATGCAACATGGACTGCCCTCTTTTCGCAATGGATTAGGTAATCTTGGTAAGAAAACTCTGTGAAGTCTAATTTTACTATTCATTTTTAATTAGGTAATCTTGAGCATCAGATGACATCAAGTTGTTACACTAAGGATTTGTTACTGGTTTCAGGAGGAGCTAAGCTCACTTCACTGCCAGCAGAAGAAATAGAGCAGCCCCTAGAACAGTTTAGACTCAGATTCCGATGCTCATCAATTGTTCACAACCCGAAACAAAAAAGCTAGTGTCCTTGATCAGAGGAGATAAACCCACTATAAAGCTCGAAGGACAAACAAACTCAAAAATCTTCCCTTAAATTGCAAATTTCACACTCAAAGTGCACTCTTCCCTCTTCCTTAGAAAATGTTTTAAAAAAAAGAAATTCTATTTGGATGAAGAAAAATTAAGGGCTAAAAGTTCTGAAGTCAGCACGTGAGGGTCGCACGAGAATTCTAGAGGGAAAATTTTCATGCCCCCGTAACTTAGGTTATTAAAATGTAAAATTCAAAAACTTTAGGGTATATAAGTGCTGCCAAAAAATGAGTTAGGATATATAAATGCCAAGTAGGGGAAATTATAAGGTTTATTGAGCCCAAAAAGAATGATGACGGAACAAAAGCGCTATGATTCTAATGGCGATGACGAGAGCTTCGATCGAACATCATCATGATCAAAAGGATTCTAATGGTGATGACGAGAACTTCGACCAAACATCGTCATGATCAAAAAGATTGTATTATTATTATTTTAATTTTTTTTTGGGTGAATGCAGGAGATTTCACTATAAGTGACGGGACGGTCCCTTCTTCATGCGTTGATGTTTGCTTGAGGTAGTTTTAATTTTGAGTCACGAATTCAATACGTGTTTTTTTTTTTTTTTGCTATTTAGAAATTCATTTAATTTAAGAAGTTTCCTTATTTTATTTGTTTACTTTTTTTGCATTCTCAAGGGCAAGATTGATGTTCAAAGTTTCTTGTATCAAATTTAAAAGGATGAGATATTCTTTGATGTGGTTTATCTTTGTGAAGCACGGTAAGTTCATGGCTTATAACTGGTGGCTACATTGGGAAGTTCTTTTTAACCTTCTGAACATTGTGAACTGAACATGATGGAAGAGCTGCAAGCAGCAAAGTATGTTAATGGGTCTAAAATATGCGATTGCGGTGTATGTTTTTTTTTTAAAATTTTTTAAATAACATGTTTCCTATACACTTGAAAGATGTAGAGGTTGTTGAGTTGGCAATCCTTTAGCGAGGGGAACATTTCGGCAGAGTAAGTGCATGTTTTTTTTTACATGACATGTTTTCTATATAGGTATTAGAAATGTTAATAACAAATTGAACCAAACATGTTATTAAAAATTTAACTCACTATTGTACTATTGTACTCCAATAAATAAAGGCTAAATAGCACTTAAATACCTTATAGTTTCACTTCTTTAGCGTTTATATACCCTCAGTTGTATTTCGTAGCATTTATATACCTTGAGTTGGTCAAGTATTGCAAGTTAATACCCTATATTTTACAAACATGAAAATTTTCATCTAAAAGTATTCATATAATATTCATATGTTAATTTTAGAGCTTTTTAACCATTAATATTGATTAAATTACTATTAAACCTACCCAAATTCTAATTTAAATGTATCATAATTGTATTTCAAAATAGAATTTAGAAAGATTTAACCATAAATTCAACAAACTTATTAGAGTGAAAGTTATAAGATTAGCATATAAATATTATATGGGAACTTTTGAATAAAATTTTTTACATTTGCAATAGATAGGGTACTAACTTGTCAAATTTGACCAACTCAAGGTATATAAATGCTAGGAAATACAACTGAGGGTATATAAGTGCTAAGAGAGTGAAACTATAAGGTATTAAAATGCCATTTAGCCATAACTAAGTAACAACTGGTTTATTTGCTAAAGGGATGATATTTGAACATCTTATCCTTGTCCAACAGACTCAATCTCCTTGATAGATACTCCATGCCCTACTCTTATTTGCTAAAGGGGATGTTAACTCTATGACTAAGCTCTATCAGTGTATCAAGGAGTTCAATGACATTTCAGGCTTAGAGGCAAATTCTACTAAAAGTTCTATCTTCTATGCTGGAATTGAGGATTCTGTTAAAGAGTCCATCCATAGCCTCCTGGGTTTCTCCACAGGCACTATGCCTATTAAATATTTGGGAGTTCCTCTAATCTCCAAAAGTTTATCATTCATGGATTGCAATCCTTTATTCACAAGGATTATTGGACAATTTCAAAAATGGAAAAAGCATAGAAACCTCTCCTATGCAGGTAGGCTACAGGTTATCAAAAGTGTGATTCTTGGAATTCAAATATACTGGACTTCAAATTACATACTTCCAGTTAGTGTTTTGAAAAAAATCGATGAGATATGCAGACAAATTCTGTGGGGTAAATCTGAGCAATCTTTTAAATCCCCTCTTGTCTCTTGGGAAAAAGTATGCATGGATAAAAGACATGGTGGGCTGGGGATATATTCTGCTCATACTTGGAATGTTGCTTCAGCCTTAAAATGCATTTGGAACATCCATAACAATAAGGAGTCCCTGTGGATCAAGTGGGTACATGATTACTACCTAAAAAACAGGGATATTTGGAATGTGAAAGCAAAACCAAGTGATTCTTGGATGTGGAAGCAGTTGGTTAGAACAAGGGATAAGGCTTTGACCATGTGTGGTGGGGTGAACAACCTTAAACTTCTTATTAGCTCCTGCCATATTCTGCTCATACTTGGAATGTTGCTTCAGCCTTAAAATGCATTTGGAACATCCATAACAATAAGGAGACCTTGTGGATCAAGTGGGTACATGATTACTACCTAAAAAACAGGGATATTTGGAATGTGGAAGCAAAACCAAGTGATTCTTGGATGTGGAAGCAGTTGGTTAGAACAAGGGATAAGGCTTTGACCATGTGTGGTGGGGGTAAACAACCTTAAACTTCTTATTAGCTCCTGCCATAAAAATGCGAAGCTCAGGTTGTCCACACTGTATAAGGCTCTTCTTCCACCTGCTGATAATGTTCCATGGTCTAAGGTGATCTGGGGTAGTTTAAATGTCCCTAAACATTCTTTTGTGAGTTGGTTAGCTATTCAAAACAGACTTCTCACCCAAGATAGACTTCTCAGGAGAGGTGTTATCAACACAAACATGTGCTGTCTATTCGCAGGACAAAAATCCAGAGACCATTTGTTTTTCGAGTGTGCTTACTCATGTGAAGTGTGGAATTGCATAATGGAGTGGCTGTGCTTTAATTGGCGATCCATCTATTGGAATTGTATAATAGACTGGTTTGTTGGCAGGCTGAGGGGGAAATGCCTTAAGCAGCAGCTCAAAAAATTAGCATTGACAGCTACTATCTACAATATATGGCGGGAGCGCAATGCTAGGATTTTTCAGGGAAAGTGTAGGAACACTATGCAATTGGTCAGAGATATAAAGGCTGAAATCTGGATCATTATCCTTAATAATCCATTAGTCAATAAGTAGAATTTATGAATCTCTATGTGTTAGAGGATTAGTTTGTATAGAAGTTTGTTATCTCAGACTTTTAGCTGAGTATTATGATCGATGTACCGCAATATTCATATTTGATGAATGAATAAATCTTTTCATTGATAAAAAAAAAGTATATTTTAACAACATGCTAGATTGATCATGGGGGTTAAGATTCCACCACGCTGACTCAAAACCAGTCAGTTTGTATGCTAGCTTTATTTTCATGCTAGAAGCACGTACAAGGACAAACTGTATGTAGAGCAGTCTGTGGTGCAAGTTAGCGGGATCTAGATGTTGCTAACTTGCACACCTGCTGAGAAAAATAGTGAGGAAAAAGAGAAATAATGGGAAAAAGATTCTTAGCATTGGTCTTAGAGCTGTAAATCCAAGTTTAGCTACTCCTGGTGATCATTTTGATACCGATTTTGTTGAAGATGATGAAGAATCTCCCTCAAGTATAATGGGTTCAACTGGACCCAAGGGAGAAAGGAAGAAAAAGACAATGGCGGATATACTTGAAACTACTACTTCTCTGGGATCTCAGATGATGGGTGCTTTTGGTAAATCTCCTATCTCTAGTAGATCTAATAGAGTTTCTTGGGCTGATGAAGTTGATTTGGGGAAAGAATCAGCTTCGATTCCATTGATTTCTGCTTCAAAAGAAGTTAG